TCCTGATATTGAAGAGACACACCATAAGATCAATAAATTAGTGTGGATTGAGCACTATTTTAAGTACTTTATGGGAATTAATTCATTTAACCCTCGGCTCCTTGCATTAAGCGCTGTGATTCCCATTGAAGACATAACTGAAGCAGTTCAAAATTGTCCACAGTATCCTAAACACACACACACACGCACACACACGCACACGCACATGCACACACACACACACACTCACGCACACACACTGTTCAATAGACTATTATCCAGGAAGTAGATCTGGAGATGATATTGGGGTGGGATGCTAAGGACAGATGAAACTCCAACAATGAAGATTGGAGGAAGAAAATCTCAGGTGTCGGAACAGCCTGAAGGTGTCAGGACACGGCCGGAAAGGGAAGCACATTAAAACCGCTAGAGGACAAAGAACATAACAGAAGGAAGAGGAGACAGGAGGAGGACACCAAAGTGTGCTCATCGTATGGAGAAAACCCACGTGCCTCACTGAATCTGTATAGAGTGGTAAACCACAAAGGAATTTATGATAATTAAATGATCACCATTTTGAGTTGGGCTATTAGCAACATGATATGTTACATAACACGAAAGACAGAGTGGATGAGAGAAACATCAGAGGCCATGAAACCACGTAAGTCAATGCAAGTGTCTGTCAAGCACTGCGGCAAACAGCCCGGGATTTATTTCCTAGACTACATCTTTAGCAGGTGGATGACATTGGACAATTCATAGACTCACTCTGAGCCTTGGTTTTCTATTTCATAAAACAGCAATAACTATACCACTTACTCGATAGCATTTTTGGGGAAATAAGGAAGGCCATTGTTGTCTACAGTGAATACAATCTAATGAAAAATTTCCCCCAAAATGGAGACGACAGGACACAGGAAAACACTCTACGAACAGCAGCTACTTCTAAAGGACCACCACAACTGAACTTGAGTCGTCCCCAGTTGTTTAATGCAATTTCTCAAGGTTCAATCAGCCTTTGGACATCTCTGGGGGCAAGTTAGAGCTCATGTCATGCCGTAAATGGTGGCATGGTGAGGACCAGGAGAGACTTTCCTCTTTTGAAAACTGTATCTGGGAATGAAGGGGGACAGCAAAAGCCGAAACAAGCTGTGAGTTGCTCTTCTCGTTGCCGTGACTAAATACTCAAGGAAAGCAACTTTGGGGAGGGTTTATTCTGTCTCACAATTTGAGGGTACAGACCATCATGCTGAGACAGTCACGGCAGCAGGGGCGCGGGGCAGCTGGACACATTTCACCGAGTCAGGAAGCAGGGAGTGATGCTGTTGCTCAGCTTTTCTTCTTCTTACTCACTCTGGGACCCCAGCCTGTGGACTGGCGCTGCCCATATTTAAGATGGGCCTTCCTACCTCCACTAACTCAGTCTAGAAAATCCCTCACAGCCCTCATATGCCCAGAGCTGTCCTAGGGGGTTCTAGATCCTGTCAAGTTGAACCATCACTTAAACCAACTCCAATAACCAAGTAGCCACAGTTGGATGAGACGAAGTGAACTTTGAGATGATGAAATCATCCTCACTTTAGCACACATTATGACAGTGACCTAAGTAAATTATTTATACCCTCTACCGATCTCGATTTTCTCATCTGTAAAATGTGATGGATAACATCTATGTCATGAGACTATTAGCACAGCTGAGATCATGTGTAATATGTCCTTAGAATAATGTGATGATATCAGATAGCCACTATGTATTATGCATAGATGAAAATCAAGCTGTCCTTGCACTTAGGCAGCAATACTAGTAGAGACAGAGATCCGGAACATATAGATGCTATCTGACCCATGGCAATTCTAGAGATCACACCCATGAAGGAACTGAACATCCCTTTCATACAGAGTCAGATGTGCTTTCCCAACGTAGGTGACTCCTTAAAGATCGTCCATTGGGTTAGTTAAGGACGACAGGCACTAAGAATGAAGCTACACTGTGCAGTGTTGGGGCGGGGGGGGGGGGGGGGGCGGGAGCAACATCAGATGGAAAAGCAATAGCCTCCGGATGAATTATTCTCCCACCGTGTCTTAGAACATGAACTCCATCACTAAGGCACAATGAAAGCCAGACTGGGCTACACAGAGGGAGCATGGTCACAACATGTCATAAACCAAAGGGGACAGAAAGAATGCCAGGAACGATCACACACACACACTCCCCTGTCCCCTCTTAGGACTGGAAACACCTGTATGTATGCCTCTGGCCTGCCTTTCTAGGTATCAGAATACAGAGAAAACTCGTTGTTTCTATAAACGGCCTGCCTGAGTGTGGCACAAACACGCCAAAACAGCCCAGTGCCCAGGCTGGTCCTGAAGTCAACTTGCAATCCTTCACTTTTTTCCTAGACATTTTTGAATTGTTCCCAAAGATTTGGGTTTCGTTTTGTTTTGTTTTACAAATATCCACATTTTACTAAGACCCGCAGAGAGGTAACAAAATGGCCATTAAGACACTCTGGTGGCAATGTGCCTGCATCTTCTGCCCTTCACCTCTGAGGGTGGTGCAGACCGGCAGGCATACACTGGAGCTCTTTTACAATCACACTTGACATTTTGCCCACGACTTTTTTGTTTTTTATTAACCACAACCTGTCACCTCTCCTTTGTCAAACTGCAGATTCGTAAGAGGTCCTGGACTTCATACTCAGGCAGAAGACTCAATCTTCAAACCTACTTGGCCACATTCTTACCCAAATGAAACCAAAGCCTGCTTATTGTGACAGTTTCCACCTCCTCTTTAGATTTCCCCAAAACTAAAGGGAACCTTCAGTGTTAGGGTATTTGGTATTTGGGGATTAAAAGCTGCCTTCACGCCGGGCGGTGGTGGCGCACGCCTTTAATCCCAGCACTCGGGAGGCAGAGCCAGGTGGATCTCTGTGAGTTCGAGGCCAGCCTGGGCTACCAAGTGAGTCCCAGGAAAGGCGCAAAGCTACACAGAGAAACCCTGTCTCGAAAAACCAAAAAAAAAAAAAAAAAAAAAAAAAAGCTGCCTTCACTCTTTTAGTACGGTAGTACTTTCAAGAAATGAATATTCAGAGAGGTTTATTTCACTTCCACGTTTCTCTCCATCCCAGATGTAGTAAGCTGCATCACACCCTTCCATTCAGCAGCAACAGCGTTCGTCTGAAAGGTATCCACAAAGCACATTCCCGCACCCGCTCATCTCCTTGGACACAGACAGTCCCAAAGGTAGGAAATCTCTCCAGTGGCATTGATGAAATTTGACACCTGATCCACATGTTAGGCTGATTCGGCCAACAGTAACTCAACCCTTTGTAGAGAGAGGGTGAGAGGAGATGCTGAAAGTAGTTCCTACCTCTAGATGGGTGGGAACACCACAAAGCCAAGACATAAAGAGTTACCAATGACTGAGGGATGGCTCTTTCCCCTGGAACTTCTCAAGGACAAAATAGCCACTCTTGTTTAAAAACAGCAATCATCTAAATGTGTGTGTGTGGGACTAGTTTTGGAGGTCAGCTCCTCTCTACAATAACTGGGAACCCGACGTTCTGAAAAGTCAAGGTGAGGCACCTGTCGACCGCAGGAAAGCATGGGCAGGAACATGTACCCAAAAGGCAACGCATACACCAAAACCTCTTGGTGGAGGCTTCTGGAATTTTATAACAAAAATCCCAGCCTACGTGAAGAGAAAATGAAAGGGAACAGCAATTTTAAAGGAGCACCAGATCTCCAGAATGGCCTCCTAGTCATCTGGCTGCCTAATGTGCCATGGAGAAGATGCTGAGGAGCGATGGCACTGCAAGCCTGGAAAACCTTCCCTTCATCCGTTAGGTTTCAGCTTTCACCTGTGCGGGCATTTCCACCTGCGTTTCCTAAGCTCCTCCTCACACTCACTGTTGGGATCTCCCCGTCATGTAGCAGAGTATGGATTGGACAGTTTGAGCTCTAAAATCACAGGGAATGGTTCCACGTGATCTCAGAAGAAAACATAGGATTGCAAAAGGTGAAGGGGGGTGGGGTGGGGTCAACAACCAGCTGAGGAAGACTTTGGACCCGGAAGGAGTTCCTGGCTGAAGGACACATTGCGTGCCTAAGACAAGAAACTCAAGACTGTTTCTCCATCCGTCTGGAAACTGCTGACAGCGAGGGGCCGAGGCTTCCAGGAGGGTTTGAGACCGTGACAAGACCAGTTGACAGAGGTCCTGGCTTGCATGTCGAGCAGTCTGTAGGAGAGGGCAGGAGCGATGGAGACAAAAGGCACTCTGTACTACCTATGGAGTGTGAAGGGTCACGCAGCACGGAACTGTCCCTACTAAGTGGCCCAGATGGGTCTCATATAAAAGGCTGGTGCCGCCATTTCCCCCAGGAGGATGAGCAAGCCAGCCAGCCAACTCCTAGCAAGGATGCTTGCAGCTAGCAGGGTCACCGCCACCACCAGCAGGTGTGGGCAATTAGGTGTAGCTGCCTTCAGAAGGCGCGATTTGGCTAATCCCATCTCACCTCACTCCCCATCCCCAGTGTATCTCACACCAGAGGAAACGAGTTAACTTACGAGGAGTTTACGCCTCGCTGGGGTTGGGGGAAGGGAGTGGTGAGAGCATGCAGGAAGGTAGAAACCTTTTGAAATGAAAGATTGCTTTCGGTTAATAATTTAGAAAAAGCCAAGGTAGGTAGGCAGCGGCAGGATGTGCAAGAGACAGCTCATTTTTGAATGTGCCTGGCATGTTAGGCAAGGGGCAACTCGCATAACCCGCGGTTCACCAACGTGTTCACCTGTCAACTGGGGAAGAGGAAAACAAACGCGCAGAGAGAGGGCTGGGGAGACCGGGAATTCAGACTCCCGGGCTTCCATCTCCCCCTCATCACCCTCCCCAGCCCCGCCCCAGAAGTCCTTCAGGTGAGACGCACTTGCCAAATGGTGGGGACCCTAGCGGTGGGCCAGGGGTGCTCACCACCGCCGACCGACCGACCGACCGCAGCCCCTGCAGGACACACCCTCTACCTACCTCCAGCATGGGAGAGGCGCCCTTGCTCGGCAGCGTGCAGCCCAGGAGCGCCGCGAGAAACTTTGCCATATACGAGCAGGGAGGCCGGGTCCCCCTGGCGCTCGCCGCCTCCGTCCTCGCCCTGCGCCTGAGCTGGGCTGGGCAGGGCGGACCGAAGCTCCGGGACCCGGGCGGGGGGCGGGGATCCGCCCGCCAAGGCTGTCCGGTCGGGGGTCTCCGGGCCTGCCGGGGAGCTCTGGGCTGCCGCTCCTCCGGAGGTGCCCGGGTGAGAGGAGCAGACAGCCGCGGGCGCCCCAGCCTCGGCGCGCCGCGGGAGCCCGGCTGCGCTAGCCGGTCCTGCTGAATGTCACCAGCGCCGTAGTAGAGGGAAGGGCCCCGCCGAGGGGGAGGCGGGAGGGCCAACGGCGCACGACCCGCGGCGGTTGCCCGGGCAAGGGCGGCGGGCACAGCGCGGCGGCGACGCAGCGACAGGCCGGCCCGCCCCTGGGCAGTGATGCGGGCGATGCCCCGAGCTCCGCTGAGAGCGTGCGGCGAAGGCGGGAGGGGCTGTTCACCGGAGTCGCCCCGGCGACCCACTTCCCTAGTTTCTGCCCGATTTGTGACAATGCAGGTGGGAGAGGAGGGGGGTCTAGGTCCGCTGACACTTGGTGAGTTACCAGGACCAAAACGCAAGCTGCCCACAAGGGCTCCCCACCAGCCAGCGTCAGCCCCACCCTTCCAGTGGGGAAGGAGAAGGTTCCAAGCCCAGAAGGAAGAACCCCACGGCTGTCTCATGTGAACCCCTGACGCTGGTGGGACCTGCACAGATAAGCCCCAAAGGGGAGTGAGTGACTTTGTGGGTGATCCCGAGATGGGCATGGATGTAACCTGGACGCTGCGACACACCTGTTCTTCCAAGAACCATGCCTGGAAGGTTTCTCTTGGAGACTCCAGACACAGGGCCAGGATGACGTTTGAATTGTACTGCTCAGGGCTGTAACTCCCACTTAGTGTATTATGGGTGACCTGTGGAGCTTGTTTAAAATAAGGAGTCCCAAGCTGCAGTTAAGTCTGGGGCGACCTCAGGATCTGATTCTTTAGTAGGTACTCCCAGACTCTCCCGCAGATGGTGTCAGGCTGCGTTTGAAAAACACTGGCTAACTGTGCCAAAGCCAGAGGTTCAGAAAACACAACAAGAAACACTAGAAAAAGCGTTAAATTCCCCGATTTTATATACAAAGTATGAGAGCGGAAAGTCTTCATTACTGAAGTCATACTCGGGACGCTCGGGGCACACAGTTGTGTACTGTGTATGCAACTGTACAAGGCTGTAAGTGCTTGTTGGGGGTGGGGGCTAGAAAATGGGTGCTTGAATGGGTGATGGTGAAATGTGAGGCTAGATTTCCCATAATGCACTGGTGCAGCAATCACAACTTCAGGGAGTGTCTTAGTTAGGGTTTTCATCGCTGTGAACAGACACCACGACCATGGCAACTCTTATATAGAAAAAGGGGTGGCTTTAGTACAGTTTCCGAGATTCAGTCCATTATCATCATGACCATGATGTTCCTGTGCAGGCTGATGTGGTGCTGGAGCTGAGAGTCCTACATCTTGCAGCAACAGAAAGTAGATGGACAGTCACCCTGAGGGAAGCTTGAGCAAAAGAGACCTCAAAGCCTACACCCACAGTGACAAGCTTTCTCCAACAAGGCCACACCTCCTAATAGTGCCACTCCCTTTGGGGGCCATTTTCTTACCACGTTCCACTCCACTTCCTGGGCCCCAAAGGCCTGTAGCCACATCATAACACCAAGATGCATTCAGTCCGACTTCAAAAGTCCCCATAGTCTTTAACAGTCCCAAACTTGTTTCAAAGTCCAAAGTCTCTTCTGAGACTAGTGGCAATCTCTTAACTGTAATCCCTCTGTAAAAATCAAAATCAAAAAGCAGATCACATCTTTGCAACATGTAATGGCACAAGATATACCTTACCATTCTAAAACACAGGGAAGGGAGCATAGTGAGGAAATACTAGACAAAAGAAAGACTGAAAACCAGCTGGGCAAACTCCAAACTCTGCAGCTCCATGTCCAATGTCAAAATGCTCTTCAGATCTCCAACTCTGTTCAGCTTTGTTGACTCTTAGGCTAGTTCTACTTCCCTGTTAGCAGCTCTCCTTGGCAGGTATCCCATGACTCTGGCATCTCCAACATCTTAGGTTCTCCAAGACAGTCCAGGCTTCAACTTCACAGCTTCATGCAATGGCCTCTCTACTAGGCCTCCATTCAGGGACAACCCTGACACATGCCTAGCCTCAGTGACTTTATTCCATAACTCCTTTTTTCTATCCTTAACTCTAAATCCAGAATCATAAGGCCAAAGCTGCCAAGTTCTGCTGCTTACTGGGGCTGGAACATGGTCCCCTTATTCAATCACCTCTTTACCAGCTTTCTGGTTTTGACTGTTACCCTCACTGCCTAAGCTTGGCTGTCCTAAAACTTGCTTTGTAGAACAGGCTGGCCTCAAACTCAGAGATCCACCAGCCTCTGCCTTCCCAGTGCTGGGATTAAAGGCATGCCCCACCACACCTGGCTCTAAGCTTTTCTTTAGTTCCTTTTCACAAGTTGGAATCTTAGCTGGGTAGGATCTTGCCCTGAGGTCACCACTCCCTTTATCCCATTTCTTAATCCATTTATCTTCTTGAACACAGGATTTAGCTCCATTCTACTTCCTGGTGCTCTTTTTCTCCTCAAAATTTACATTTTGTAATTTACACTGCTCAGCTTGCTCCTTTTCATTATAAATCTTCATTAGAGTTACCACTAATATCCACATGACAGAGTCTATACTAGGCCGCTTTGAGATTTCCTCTGCCAATGGAATTGATCCAAAACTCTTCACTTTAGTCTCAGGCAGACTCCTCAGACAAGGGCAAAAGTCAGCCACCTTCTTCACCAAAATATCACAAAAACAATCTCTAGGCACCATACTAAAATTCTTCTCCTCTGGAACCTCTTGAGTGAGCCCCCAATAGTTCAAATAACTCTTAGTAACTCTGTCTTCCATGATCACTAGTATGGTCCATTAAGCAGGGCTTAAAGCATTCCACTGCTTTCCTAACCCAAAGTCCATGTTACTCCAAACAAAAATGTGGTCAGGCCTATCATAGCAATATCCCAGTCCTTATGTATTGCTGTAAAGAGACACTATAACCATGGCAACTCTTAAAAATGAAAACATTTCATTGAGTTGCTACCTTACAGTTTCAGAGGTTCAGTCCATTATCATCATGGCAGGGAGCATGATGGTGTGTAGGCAGATGTGTGCTGGAGTAGTAGCTGAGAGTCTTATATCTTGACTCAGAAGCAACAGGAAGTCAAATGACTCACTGGACAGTATCTTGAGCATAGGAAACCTCAAAGCCTGTACCCCCAGTGACATACTCCAACAAAGACACACCTCCTAACAGTGCCACTCCCTACGAGCTTATGGGGACCAGTTACATTCCAACTACCACAGGCAGAAAGGAAAGGTATCATTCTAATACCATACCACTACTTCTCAAACTTGTTCAGTCAAGTACCTTTCACCATAAAAAGCTGATCAAGAACATAGTTTATTTTAAACCTAGTTTATCTTATAGTTTTCCTATAAATAAATATATTTTTAAAAACCTATGACATATTCCAACTGCCTGTGCTTCTTCTCATCACTTTTCCATCTTCTAACAGCAACTGCGCTAAGTCCTTCCAAGATTCAAAGCTGTCTGGCTTTGTCTTTTGCCAACAGCCAGAGAAAACGTTTGCATTTAAGGAGCTTATACAGTGACATCAACCCTAGAGCCTTCCTATCTTGCAGTCAACCCCTTAGGCATTGTCGTTATATCTCATGCAATGTTAACTCAACCACAGAAATAACACCAGAGGTGAAAGGTCACAGGAAGTGTGCAGACCCCTCTTGCCATAGGCTTATTTTAAGGAATAAATAGAGGATACACTTAACATGGCTTTATTTTGTCATACCTATAAAAAGAACTTAAAGATTGGCTTATATTTTTTATTTTTTTTTTTAGTTTTTTTCTACACGGCTACACTCTATTTTAAAAGTGAGAAACAGATAATTAAAAAAATGTTCAAGACCACCTAGAAGGTTGATATCAAAGTCTGCAATACATCTAGGATGGCTGCAATCATGGGTATTTGGACATTGCTCCCTATTATACCATTGAAAGCTGAGCACCAGGACAGAGGACAGATAACAGTCATTTGGAGGAGTGAGACCTGAGACAGAAGGTGGCAATAAGCAGACAGAATGTCACAGTAGCTTGCCATACACTAGTAGCTGACAGTTTGGACAGAGTACTAAATCCTAACTGAAATAAGAAACCAACGGGCCTTGGTGTCTTCTCCACCTGTATGTCCCCTTGTGACCTAGACTCATCCCTCCCAGGAGCTCTCCTCCTCGACATCTTGCATCTGTAGCATCAGGAAGAAATAAACACATCTGAAAGCAGAGTATGCGCTGACCCAGCCTGGACAGCATGAGCATTATGCAGGGCCACGCCCTGGTTAGAATCACTACCATGTCTGTTTCCTACTGTCACTGGTAAAGCAAGGACAGGGACCCAGGATGAAAAAAGGGAAGGAGTTAAAGAAGAGAGAGAGGGAGGGAGGGAGAGAGGGAGGGAGAGAGGGAGCAAGAAAGGAAGAAGAAAGAAGGAAAGTGGAGGGAGGGGGAGGAAGAGAGGGGAGGAAGGACAGAAAGGAGGGAGAGGGAATAATTGCATCTGTACCTCTTCTCCTTTGAAGGCAGATGGCAGGAACATTCCCTAGAGAGTTGTTCTTATTTTAATCAAGTGTTTCGCTTTTTAGCATTGATCCTAAGGGGAACAATCAGTGCGTTCCTCTAAGACAGTGCGTTTGAAGGTGTTTCCCACACTTGGGTCAAGTGAGTCTTTTCCACTAGTGTGGTGCACACCAGGCCGAGGGGTGGGCCTAGAGTTGGGTGTGAACTCTGCTGTCACCAGTGAAGATTCTCCAGCAAGTAGCTACCCCTCTCTAAAGTGCCACTTCCTCACCTAGATAGAGCTGCTAATACACACCTCATGAGAATTCAACTAGTTAACACCACTACCTTACATTAATTTATCATGACGACTATTGCATTCATGTAATTCTCATACCAGTATCCACAAAGTACTTGGACTTGAGTAACAAGAATAAATGTTGTCTACTAGAAGGATTATGATTAGTCATACATGCTCCCCTTCTGGCCCTGAGCCAGGTGACACTCAATAAGCACTGATTATGAAATGGACCAATGGACGAAGACCCTTGTCACAGCATTATAAAACTACGTCGTGCAAGTCATTTGAAGTCCAACCATGAGAGACTGGCTTGATGCATCATGGTTCAAATGTTTGGAACCAACTGTGTTTGAAAAAAATATTTAATGGTCTAGAAAATGTCTTTAT